TTTGCGTGTTCATCCCAAGCTTGATCGGCACTTTCGTGTCCGGTCCTCATGTTTGCCGGAAAATCCGTCAAAATCTGTTTACTTCCGTCATTGTGCGCGTTCATTCTGAGTTTGCTCAGAAGTTTGGACGTTTCCCCAAGTCACACGCGCTGTACTGACTTTGGTTACCGACGAAATGCGCCGCTTGTATCATATAGATCTGCTGTGGAAGAAATTGTCGGTAAATACTGCTGCCCTCCGCTTCTATAATTAAATAAATAAATTATACCGATCAATTATTATAAATGATGGGTATTAATACTGCCGTATATTATATATAATCGAATAACCATAACCTATATTATGTAAGTTTACACAAATAAATGTTTTTGTTTTGTTATTTATTTGATATTATTATTTAATAATCGCTTCAACACGTTGGGGTAAAATTAACTTATGCGGCTTGTGAATAGTAATATGTTGTCTAAATTGTATAGGTACAGCCGTACAGGTTACTTTCGGTTGTTCTTTACCTACTAGTGTATAAACCTCACGAGTCACGAGAAAACTTGTATTGAATTTTCAAGATTTTTGACCAAAAAAACATAATAATATTATCAACAACTAGCGCAAAGTTCATTGAAAAAAACCAAAAACACTACGATATCATGCAAAGAATGGTACTTACGTGTAATAATAAGTTCTCCGTGGATTTGGATTTCACTAAATTGCTTAATAATTTTATATTTTTCTATAGTTTTGACAATGACATTTTCATAACATTTAAATTTAATCGTTTTATACTAATTCATATTTATGGATATACTATATTATAATTATATTATATGGTTTTACGGCTACCGCCAAGGGTTCCTCCCTAATTATCAAACTTCGTAACTGTGATGGTTTCCAAAACTTGTCGAATATTGTAACGACTCGGATTTAGAATGCCAATATGCCATACGTGGGCACCCGTCATACCCGCCCATTCAAAGTTTGGTTATTCATAAGTTTGTCTACCTTTATCAATAAAAAAATCTCTACCGGACAGTCAAATTAAATTTTTATGAGCGTTTGAAATTCAAATTTTTACAACATTGGATTTTCACTTGATTTCTCATGTAGCGATTTCCTTATTTTGTTGTAATTCAAAAACAAATGACTGTAGATTCATGAAAATTTCACTGAATATTTATATTAGCATTTCCTATACACCATATAATTTTGAAAATATTTTGACTCTTTTTGAGCTGTTTACGGACATTTTCAATTTTCAATTTTTTTAGTTTTTTTTTCTATAAATATCAATTAAGTTTTATCTGTTGGGCCAAAAAGTGTAAAAATTTAATAGAAGGCTGCTGATATATTGCTACAAAAGCAATTGAAAAATATTAAAAATACATAGGCACAATTTTTTTTTTATAAGCATTGAAAGATCGATTTTGACAAAATTTATCAAAATCTCGAAAATTATCAATCATTGTAATTAATAAATTATAAAATGTTTAGTTTTTATAGCTAAGGATTGCAAATTTAAAACAAAGGTTATCATAAATAGTTCATACTGTAACCAACAAATCTAAAAAATATATGAACACAGTTATTTTTTACAGACATTTTAAATTCAAATGTGGACGAAATTACATATTAAAAAACCTAGAATAACTATTTTAGTTATTTTGTTGTGATTGAATAATGTTATTCGTGAGTACTTGAAACTTCTAAAGTGTACTATTATATATCTATGAATTATGATAGTATCACGGTTTTTGTTGATGTATAACGCGTTATAAGTACCTAATGGATATTGTGATATGATTTTTTTGGAATTTATTATAGGTACCTATTATAGGTCAAATTTTGGTTTAATACCATAGATATGTACATAATATGTCTTATACCTAGACTGACATACCGTCTCTGCTCAGAATCGTTTTTCTTATACAATGATATTATATCGTTGAATTCAAATTTAATATCATCCATTACACAGTGACCCACTGGCCACTTGTAACCTACTGTACAGCAGAGCGACACCCACCTGCCCACCTTTTTTTTAATGTTTTTGGTAAAATCGAAAAAATTTCATATTTTAAAATTTCAAAAAGCTGTAACTCATTCTATTTTAGGTTTAGAACTATGGTCAATGGATCAAAATTACTTAGAATAAAATAATCTATCCATATCCGGTGACAAAAATAGGTGTTGAAATTTAAAAAAAAATTTGTATTGCGCATGTGCATACTACAAGAGTTAAAAATTTGAAATTTGCCCTTAAATGTGTATTTCAGTACCCTTGAGCTATTGCAGCAAACCGTATTTCAATCTAAGATTATCGGGCTGAGATATTTAGTGGTACATTTAAAACGGGACAGACTGTATATAATGGGTGATTCTTTTATCAAACAACACTCATTATTTCAAAAAGTGTAAATTGTTATGAAAATATTTTTTTACATAGTTTCGAGTCGCTTAGAAAACAGCGTTTTCATTAAAAAATTATATTTTTAAATATTTTTTATCCTTATAATTTTTTAAGTTTATTACTTTTGTTCTAGGAATACTGCTGCTGTTTGGTGGCTTATAGAGTAGGTACATCAATAAATCAAGGAACTCACGAAGGTGACGTGAATCACCCACAGCAAAAAATATTGTTATACCTATAATGAGAAAAACTATGGTGCCACAACTACCACGTTTACTGCGAGTGAATGAGATGTGACGGCTTAAGTTTTAAGCATTTTGTATAAATAGGGTCGGCGTGAAAGAAAATAAACGGTATTTGTGGATCGGGGATGCCACCAACTTTACCACTCACTGCTCACATATCTGTGTAATATACAGACATACAGTAGCGGTATATGTAATGGGCCACATATAATATATTAATACATCAAGTCTCGGCTCTGATAACTTGAAATACTTCATTGTTAAAACGTATATACGTCTCTAATTTTAAATGTTTATTCACAATTCTTTTTTTCAAGGAATACAGCTTTTTTTTATAGAGCACGCATCAATTATAAATATCTTACGACGTAATTTAATCCAACAGCAAGAAATCTTGTTGTAAGAATGTGAAAAACTACAACTTGAAGTAAGTACTTCATATTGTTAAAACTTATACGTCTCAATGTTAAATGTTAAAAAACTTGAAAGTATTGTGTTTTGAAATGTTTGGTAAACTATTATGGTTTTATTTTTTATAATTTATAATGATTATTAAAGTATGAATGTTGAAAAGCTTAGTTTTTGGTTTTATTTTACTTTTGATTTTCATATGATATACCAAATAAATACAGGTCACTAGGTAGGTGTTGTCTACTAAACTGGTAAAATACATAAATACATAATAACACAACATTTGTAAATATTATGACTACGGGGGGTGTGGGGCCCCCCACTACGGAATTCAAGTAAATTTTCAGACCCCCCCCCCCCATAGTAAATTCCTGAGAACGCCACTGTATCATATCTATCAAAAACACGAAAAGAATATTTAAATCCAACTATCCAAGAACAGTTCACTTATTCCTAAATATCAGGTATATTGGTTTGGTTAAAAAAAATTAAAGAGGTGGACAAGTAAAAATTAAAACTTACTCGTTTTTCTTGACGCTTTCTAAACTACTTGGAAATTTCCATTTTTTTACCTCCCAAAAATACCAACTAGAATACTAGATTCACTTTTCTATAAGAAAAGATTAGTGGCGTATTTAGGATTTGCACTGGGTAAACATTTTTTTTAATGGCTTTTCCACCACCGTTTTTTTTATATTGGCAATTTTTCTTACCCATAAGAAAACTTACAACACGTACATATTGTGCCATATGATATAATGGCAATAGTATCATGCAGGTATCGCAAGTAATCTCAGTAGCAACGAATAACGAAATAATCAAAGGAAATTGTAATTTTAAAATGTATTAATTAATTTTTTTTATCTATTTTTAAAACAGTGGACATCGGCCCTGGGTATACATATGAAAAATATCGTTCGGGGTAATTACCTCCCTTGATGATCCTCCACCAACTAAATACGCCCCTACCAATCATAGTTTTGTGGCCGACTTGTGGGGCCAAGACATCTAAAGGGGGGCCCTGGCTCACCCTGCAGTCCTACACATTGGCACCACCACAACTGGCCAGGGACGAGTGTACGAAGTGGTCGTAATTTTAATTAATTAACTAGTTAATTCAATAAATAGAAAACAGTGCCCAAGCCCAGATTAAGGGGGGGGGGTCCAGGGTGGGCCATGACCCCCGGGCCTTGATAGTTAGAATTTATTTAGGGGACTCAGATTTGTCCATCACTTTTTTCATTATATGTTATAACACTGCATAAATCACCTTAAAAAAAAATCGATGAGGAAAAAAGTTTCTAAATTATAATTTATAAATAAAGTGATACATTATTCATTATTTATTGCCTATATATGTACCTATTATACCTATATATATTATATATATTTATTCTAACAGGTACCTAATATTAAATAATATAATATAGTAATATACAAATTTTTTTTTTCTTACAGGGACCTAATTTAAAGCTTTGGCCTCTGGGCCTCAAAATGTCTTAATCCGGGATTGGCGGTGCCCGTAATTTATATTAACAACAATAAACAGTTCGCGCCTCCATCGTTGGTGGTTCGTAACTTCGTGGACGACCGACGAAGGCGTGCGTGCGTCCGGTGCGTAGGTCGTGCGAGCAATTTGCATAGCAGTAGTTGATAATGGGGTCCGGAAGGGTAGTTTGAAAGGGCGCCAAAACGTTGCTCATGGAAAGGCGTACGTACTTACGGTTTTTCTTTTTGTTCGTTTAATACTTTATTGATTATACGAAATCAAAGCAGCCATCTTGTATCGCGTTTTTCAATTTCCGTGACAATCGCAGCGGCGGTCTCTCGGACGTGTGTCGTCCCGTCCACGGAGTAGCTGCGTTGATGATAAACGCGTATACCGTTTTCATAATTACAGAGACAACTCGCCGAGACAGACAGCCCGATAGACTCCGACAATGACTTCCACGTTCCGTTCGAGTGACATTCTCCAGCAGATGGACTTCGCCATGATCGGCACCCACTTCGCTTCCGGCCCGTTGCAAATCGACCAGGATTTCGCGGGCATCAGTGGCGTTCACTTCAACGGTAGTGGGTCGCAACAACCGTACGCCAACGATGGCGAAGTGACGCTGCAGCCCAACGGCATGCCGCCGTCATGGCAGAGCATCGCTGCACCCGGGTCGACCGTGGCCGATTACCTGTCTCATTTGCCGGCCACGCTCACCCTGCACCACTTTCTCAAGTACTCGGGAGAGGCCGTCTGCAAGGACGTGCGCGACGAGACGAAACCACCGAAGAAGAGGAGAAAACAAAGCAGACAAGTGAACGCAACGGCAGTCGCCGCAGCAGCAGCAGCCGCCAGTGACCGCAGTCCGCCTACTACGACGACATCGTCACTGCCTCAGGTCAAGCCGAAGCCCGGCCAGATACGAATAACGAGCTGCGCAGATGGCACCACCATGTTCGGGTGTCCGGAATGCCGGGCCGAATACTTGGACAAGCATCTGCTGGAGGAACACCTGGGCACACACGCGACAGAACGGCGGTTTGTGTGCGACATTTGCGGTGCAGGGTTGAAGCGCAAGGACCACTTGACGAGACATAGGCAGAGCCACAGTTCAGAAAGGCCGTATGCCTGTACGGTATGCGGCAAAGCTTTCAAGCGCAAGGAGCAGCTGACCCTGCACAAGGTGGTGCACACAGGCGAGAAACGGCACGCTTGCATAGAGTGTGGCCGTGCATTTTACAGGAAAGATCACTTGAGGAAGCACGCCAGGAGTCACGCGGCCAGGAGAGATAAAAGCAGTGGACAGACGTGCTAGACAAACAAATAACAAAAAGGAAAAAATGATTTGCCAATTTGTTGTATATTTTATTCATTTTCATCCATGTACATATTATGGATATTATATTCAACTCTTGCAACTACTTTCGCTTAAAAACTAATATTAAAATATTATAAGTGAGTGCATTATATATCATCAACATTATAATATCAAATATACCATTACCAAATTATTATTATGAATTTTGTAAATATTATGTATCATGTTATTAGTTATTAACAATGTTTTCCTTAATATTAAACATCCGTGTTATAAAAACACAATGCTACTTTCATTAGCAGTAATGATTATATTTTACCAGTTAAACATTATAGAAAAAATGAATTAATCATAAATTTAATTATGTATAAAATATTGTCATTATTTGAACAAACTTTTAATATTTAAACTATGTTGAAAGATAAAATAATATTTGAATGTACAGTATTTTGTCCATATTGATTTTTGGATGTACAAGTTTAAAAATATAAATGTGTTTATTAAACGTTCGCTATTTTTTTCCACCCCAACCCCACAGACCTTTCACAAACCCGGAAATCCCTTCTTTATTAGCTGGGTCAGAAACTGGTTGTTGTTTCTTGAATACTGGTAGTTTAACATAATTTAATGCGACATCAAAGAACAATGGCTTGCACGGTATTTCTTCCATTTCAGGTGGTACTTTGATGACATTTGGATCTTTACCCAATATACTTGAATCTTCATAGTATTCATCCAAACGTTTTGTTAAAGGCATCTTAAATAAATTAACATTTAAATTAAAATTGATGTTGAACAATGAAAATATAGAATAAATTCCACCTTTTGCAGTTTAGCATTTTTCAAACTATCCAGTTCTTCCTCATTATCTTGTTCGAGAACACTTTGAGCATGAGCGCAGTATTTAGAAGATTCAATGGTGTTCACCAAGTTCCTCAAACGAGTCTTTAAATCATCATCAACTTGATTAATAGCAGAAGATATGTGAAGTAATGCTCGTTCATACATGGCCATTGTATCCCTCCAACGATGCAAAGTACTTAAACTCTGACCAATATAATAACATCTAAAAAAAACACCATAATTTAGAACCAGTCATCAGAAAAGAACCATTAATGTATAGAAAAGATCTATGGTGATTTGTTAATGTACTTACCTAAATGCTTTGTAAGCTTTAGCTTTAATGATCAATTTTTCTTGAAAATCTGAATCGTCTTCCAAACCAGGCAATTGTTGTTCTTCCAAAATATTTTGTATCAAAATCTCATATAATCTAGTTACGTCTTGAAGTTTCTTACTCCCCTATGTTAAAATAACAATTATTAATAAATAATAAAAAGGATATAATCCGATTAAATATACAGTTATTATAGTATCAATAAATATTATTTTAAAACCACATTTAACATACAATTGTTCCTTGTTTGCCATCATTTTCCAATGCACTTTCAATTAACAACAAATTACGTTGTATTGATCTTTCCAAACGAATGAATGACAAATAAGTATGAAGATACTGTAATGATGATGCTGAAGAAGTTGAAGAACCATCCATTTTCTGCAAACCAAAGTGTATATTAAATAATTTAAATCTATTAGCACAAATGAAAAGTAACTTTAAATAACTGACCTGTTCAGTTTTAATATCATCTCTTATTGCTAGCATAGCATCTTTACAGTCCATCAAATGTTGTTCCAATGAATCACTCTTTTCAGCTAATGTAGTGCATTTGTCCAACAAACTATTAAAATCACGATTGGCTAATAAGAAAGTCCTTACACGAGAATTTTTTACGGGCACTGTACGATTTCTCCAAGTCACTTCACTTAATGAATCTCTTGTTTGCGCCATCAAAGTCTATATAAATGTATAATTTATTTAAGTAACTGTGATATCTTTCATTTTACTAATAAAAGTAACTAACATCCAATGTCACTAATAAATCCCCTTGTGCTTGATTACGCAAGTGTAATAGTTGATTAACATCTGTCTCATTTCCAATATTATAAGCACAGAAACGCAAGCTTGGTTCTAATTCTTCATATCGATTTCTATATAAAATAGCATCTTCTTCGTTTAGTGCAGAAGCTAATTTTTCATAAATCATTCTGAAAAAAAAATTTATATAATATCAAAATGAATAACAAATTATGTTAAACATTTCAAATTCAGTTAGAGGATATATAACTGACATAAAATGATGTCGAATTACATGAAAATATTTAATGATCCGTAAATAGTAATGTTTCTATACAATATTTCAATAACAAAACAAGCAATAATTAGAAATTTTTACGTACTGAGCTTTTTTTAAGTTTTCTATGGCTGGCTTCCATTCTTGTAGTTCAAATTGCAACATCCCTTCACACCAAGCCACATAAGCTTGAGTTTCTAGTTGAGTACGAGCATCAAATTTTTCAGACTATAATGTTTTTATTTTTATTAAAATAAATTAACTAAGAATAAAATATATAACAAATAAATTATATATTATGCATTAAAAATGTAAATAAATTGGTTAATGTATTATTATTACCAATGTAGACAGTTTTTTTTACTAACACATATAATGTGATTATTTTTACAGGCAACACAAAATTCCCTCAGCCAAATTTTATTGGATTGAAAAATTGAATCAAGACTTTTTAGAAGCTGGGAGTACTAATATACATTTATGGGATTAATAATATTTATCATTATATAAAAAATAATATTGTTTACTAAATACAGATTTATAGAAACATTTTAAAATGTTAACTCTCTAGGTGCATTTCCAACTGAAGCAATAAATGTATTTTCTTTTATTTATAGTACAAAAAATTCTTTAACTTTACACTTCAATATTTATTCTGGCAGGAAAATTAATTTATACACTGTCCAACAAGAGAATACGCTGAATCTGTGTACCCCCCCTCCATATCATTCTGCTATAAAAACCGGATCTCCTGTGGCAGTGTTGTGTGGTGATGCGCAGAAGAACCGATTTTCGTTAGTACTCTAAAGAGTCAAAAGTAAAAATATCAAGTACTTTTCTTAGTAATTGAGAAAAAATAAAATAAATTCTGATATAAATCTATAGATATACTATTATAATAAATGCAATGTTTTCAGCAAAAATTAAATCAATTAAACCTTTAAGCATCATTCAACAAATAAAAATGAATGAATTAAAATTTTTAATAAATAGAACAAAAAAACTAAAAAAAGTATTACAATACAGTTAAAATGGCTCCAATGTTGTCAATTTTAAGTCAAAATTATTAAAGAATAACCTACTCAAATATGGTATCAAAAATATATATTGAAAATAAACTAGTTGCACTGCATAAAGTACCAGAGTATGATATTTTAAATGTTCCTATAAATGTGTATTTGAGTACAGTCTAGCTCAAAGGTTCCCAAACATTTGACGGCATGACACATTTTGGAAAATGTTGAAACGTTAACTGATAACACTAGAAATCTTTTTTTTATTGTTGGTCGTTATCTAGGCGATATCTTTAAGTTTGACAGAGTTGTGGTGACATGTCACTCTGGCACAATCGTAATAACCACAGAGAATGAGTGATGAAACTGAATTTAAATAACAGTAATAAATTTATAAAATAAAATAGTTGCATGGTAAATACTGATTATAATTATACTCATATTTATACAAAAATATATTTTTCTTTCTTTATAACTATGGTAATTTAATATATATATATATTTTTTTTTTATTGGAAAACAAGAATATATGCAATCTGTAATATACAATACAATAAGTAATAGGGGGTACAGTTTACAGGACGGGACGGCATGAAAGACGGGGAGGTCCAATGACCCTAATTTAATATTATAAAAATATATATTTATTTCAAAAATGTACGACCGATCAAAAAAAAAAAAAAAATGCAACTCAAAATTAGGAAAACTTCACCCATAGTTATCAATATATTTCAGATTCAATCCAACAAAATCTGTAAATTTATTGTTAGCCGAAATATAAATCATATATCACACATATAGGTACTGATTTGAACATAATAGTATGAAAATTTTACCTCACAAAGCTTTTGTAGTTGTATAGCATAACTAGCAGCTTTTCTTAGTCTAGACACCAAATGAAATTTTTTTCTTGGTTCTGTATTAGCCTCAACTCTTAGTTGCATTGCATAACTCCATGCTCTTTCAGCTAACATCAATGGTATGTAAACCGCTCTAAATTATACACATTGTTACTATTAAGTAATTTAATATTTTAATAAATATGAATTTATTCACCTTTCATCTGTCAGATTGGTTTCTGTAACATTTTTCTTGCGAAAATGTCTTCGATCACCCTGTTGTAAATGCATAACTTTTCGTAAACGTCTGATACGTCGGGTGCAATAACCTCTATAAATTTAAAATTAATATTATTAGTGTATTTTCAAATTTTTTTACTAAAAACATATTACGAGGCATTTGGTATTTAATATTTACCTATATCTTTGATAATCATTATGCCTTAAGCCATGTTGCTGTTGGGCTTCCTTAATAATCTTTAATACTGTTGGAAAATTATTAAGGAATATTTAAATTTAAATATAAGTAAGGTAGGTTAGGTTCCTACCATTTTTTTAAAATGTTATCAAACTGAATTAAAATACAAGTTACAACCAAACAGAAATGAGAAACATATCCTATGACCTACCTACACAGTTTTTAAGCTAACAAAGTTTTAGATCTGTAACAAAATCTGTTTTTAATCATATAGGCCATAAAAGTTATCATGATAATATAATAAATAGCAGATGGTACATTTACCTATACTCTATCCCACGAGAGAATAATCACTTTTCGCGCATCACGAATGATTCGATTGGTGCGTCGAGAACTTTGAGAAGTTGGTGGGGGATGAGTGGCACTGACAAGAATCGGTCGGTGGACTGATTATTCTCTTGTGGCATAGAGGATAGTAATAATTTATATTTTGTATAATTGGTAAAATTAGTATATCACTGAAGAGAAAAAAAATTTATTTTATTAATTATGAGCAACCCACGATACTATAAATATATTTACAAAAACTATGGTCCATAACATTAAATGTATTTATGAGTGAATCTTTTATTGAATAATAAGTATTTATAAGCAGCGGTAGAACAACCGATTCAGAGATCTTAAGATCCTAAGAATCCCAAATCAGAGATGGAGAAAGGTAAGCATGAGATAGAGATGCATAGTGACAGTGAAAGCAACAAATTATGTTAGAAAACCCCAAAAAAAAATTATTATTTGTAAATAATAACAGTATGAAAATCACTTTCTCATATTATAATAAAATTAAGACATTATGCATAAAATCCTTTACACAAGTTATGATAATAATTATTTTTATATTGTACATGAAGATAATAGGTGTTTTATTATAATTCATTCAAAATAAAAAAAATAGTATTGTAAAATAAGAAACAGTTTGATAATAGAAAAAGGATACTTTCAATTGAAAATATGGGAATTTTCTTTTCTTCATTTTCCGGTGCATTCTCCTTGTTGCTCTCGTTGCCAGCAATTTGATTAGACATTGTGCCTGGAAAGATGTAATTACAATTACTGTCTACTTAGACCCAAACAAAAATTATAATAAACCTGTGAGGACAATTTATTACTATGACTTTAAAATGTAAAAATAAGTTAAAATCGATAGGAATTTAAGAGATTACAAACTTACTCGTTTTACTATTTACACAACAATTAAAGTATACAACACACGTTGACAACTTTCGAATATTATTATGTTACATAAACGTACAATACTGCAATATATATATATAATATAAATTGTAAAAAAAAGAGACTGGAAAACTTGATACAAATATCGTAACGTCACAAATAATAATTAACCCCTAGGCCCTAGTACTTTATACCATTGATTAAATATACAATATGAATATTTAATCAATGTTTATACTTACGTGTAGTCGTGTAAAGACTGTAGATAGGTACGTGTTAATAAAACGTTGATACCAAGGTAGACCATACAACAACGCCAACAACTTACAACGTCTGGTCACTGGTCAGTGGTCGACAATCAATTTGCCAATCTATTTCTTAGGTACTTACTGTTCTGTGGTACTTCATAAGTTCATTATCAGACTAGTAATCAGTAATCACATAGAATATATTAAAGAATATATATCTTTAATCGTGGTAATCAGTAATCACTAATCAGGCATTCAAACATGATTCAAACCACCAATCACCATGTCTACAAAAAAAAAAACTTGCAGACCACATACAATTTTAATGTTTTTCGACGTGAAACGTAACTATGAAACGTTTTCTACCAAGTTATCTCCTTATTATCGATAATATTAGGTATTACGCTTATCACTACAATTTTAAATAATTTGTTCGACTTTGAAGAGAAAAAAAACAAAGATTTAAATTCAATTAAAATCTCAAAAATGGAATAAAAATCGTTTGTGATTTTTTACTGCTCATTAGAGGTATTATTTCTTACATTTCATAAATATCTTACATTAAAATATGATCGCTGACGCTGAGAATTTACATATTGTATAATGTGTATAATGTCCTCTACACTCTTTTAGGTCGGTGAACAGTTTCAAATATGTTCCTGACCAGATGGCAAAAAAGATTGTACTTGAAAAAGTTAAACCGTTGGTCCATTAGTCTCAGCAGTTGTGACTGTACCCGTACACATTCTACAATAAATCATGAGTCTGTACTCCCAACCCAAGCACAGGTCGTAATATGTGGTACAGGAGTAGTGGCCAATTCACTGGCCTACCATTTAGTGGAAAATGGGTGGTCAGATATTGTACTCATCGACCAGGGAAAGTATGTATCTTATTGAATGACACATACAATATTTTGAAATTTGAACCGTTGTATACTTAGACCATGTGGAGGGACATCACATTTTGGTTCAGGAACTCTGGGATTATTCAAACCAATTGCTGAACGCAATATCATTATGTACAGTATTAAGTTATACAGGCAGTTAGAAGCTAAAGGATATGATATTGGTATGTTATTGTCAAATAAAAGGGTTGCCTGTTTATTCCTATAATATTAACACGTTCACGGCCACAGTATAATTTAGAAAGTTGTTTAAAAATACCAGGACATAAAAAAAGATTTTTTAGTTACCTACAATGAATATTACTTATATTGCTATCTAGTGGTAAGATTTAAAAACCAAATACACCAATCGATACGTAAAGAAGTGTAATATTATCATAATATTTATTAGAATAAACCAGAGTCGAATAATTCGTATACAAATCAATGGACCTGATGTCAACTATACTTGACATGGGTTTATATAAAGGAAACCCCATGTCAACTATAGTTGACACTTGGCCGTGAACGTGTTAAAACAAAATTTGTATTTAGGTTTAAAACAATGTGGTAGCCTAAATTTAGCACAAACTAAAGACAGAATGATAGCATTAAAACGGAGGATTGCATATAGTTCGCCTACTGGATTGCACTGTGAGGTAGAGTAATATTAGTTTTACTTTAATTTTTTTAAATACCTTCTCATTTAACCAATATTTTTATTATTATTAGATGCTAGGAAAAAATGAACTGAAAAGATTACATCCATTTTTAAATACTGATGACTTAGAAGGAGGTGTATGGGTTCCTGAAGATGGAGTGGCAGACCCTCAAGCAATCTGTAAATCATTAGCTAAATTAGCTTTTGAAGGTGGTGCTCATTATGTTACTAACTGCCATATTCAGAAAGTTGTTACTGAAGAAGATCGAATTAAGGGTGTCCATACTAGCCGAGGGTTTATCTACTGTGAATATTTTGTGAACTGTGCAGGGATGGTAAAATTACTTTTTTAATTTTGGCAATATTTAAATCATTTTGATAATATGTCTATTAAAATAAAGGTTAATAGTAAATTATTCACTTTAGTGGGCAAGAGAAGTAGGAAATTTATGTTCTCCTAAAGTCAGGGTGCCTGTATACCCAGCTGAACACTTTTACGTTACCACTAGTCCATTGCCCGGAATTGGTGTTGATTTACCATGTATTAGAGATTTTGATTCTCATATTTATGCCAGAGAGTATAACTCTGGATTCCTGGTTGGCGGATTTGAAAAAATCGCTAAACCTGCTTTTCTTAATATGAAATTAATACCACCAGATTGGAAAAAAGATATGCCTTCAGATTGGAATCATTTTTGTAAGTAAATTAAAATGGTGGAGTATAATATAATTAAAATTTAATTTGTTTTAGTGCCCTACTGGGAAAAAGCTATGTCTCGAATTCCAATTCTTAAGGATGCTGTTTATCCAACATTGGCTAACTCTCCAGATACTTTTACACCAAATGGCAAATGGATTTTGGGAGAAACACCAGAAGTAAACTATTTAAAAGTCTTATATTAAATTCATTAAAGTAAAAACAGAATATTGATAAATTAAAAATTACTCAAAAATTATATTATTTTTATATTTTATAACATAAGTGACTAATTATAAATTGCAAAAAACTTAATTATAACTATAATATAAACATAGATAAAAATTACATTTGATAACTTTTCATTTTATTTTTATAAATACATTTAAATTTTCCTATAGGTAGATAATCAGGTAGATAGGTAAAACTGCAATTACTATTTTAAGATGGATTAGATTAATTTACGAATAGACATGAAAGTATCCAAACACATTTTTTTTCAAGTTTAATTGTGCAACATTAACGCAATATATTAATATAATATGAAAAATGTATGTAAAAAAAATTAAGTCCCAAAATTTGCAAACGAATACGAAAAATTTCAAATAAAACTTATATATTTTAAATTTTTGTACAATGAAACTAAAAAATGTGTAGCTTGATTAGCAATATATACTATATAGAAAAATAAAATACGTAATTCTTTAAGTTCCTATTTCTAAGATATTGACGATATTGTTTATGTTTATTAAAAATGGAAGTTGTATCTAAAATAGTTTTAATAAGAACTTGATACACTACATCAATGTAATTGCCCCTTAAGCCCTTAAAATTTATTAAAAGTCTCAAAAACGTTCCCCTCGGCCAATTACGGCTTTTTACTATTTTGAATAACAGCATAGGGTTTTAATTTCATTTTCCAAATCAGAATATTTCTCTAAGTATTTTGATACATAAAAATCGAATTTAAGACTAGTAGTTTATAAGTTATAAGTATTTAAAGTTTAGACAGGCGGTGTAGTAGACGAACATTTTGCGGGGTAACCGCATACCACTCCACCCATCTAAACTTTAAATACTTATAACTCATAAGCTACTCGCCCTAAATTTGATTTGTATGTATAAAAATACTTAGAAAAATATTCTGCCTTGGAAAATGAAATTAAAACTCTATGCTGTCATTCAAAGAAGTAAAACAATTTAAAAATTATAAGGATAAAAAATATTTAAAAATATAATTTTTTAATAAAAACGTTGTTTATTGAACAACACGAAACCATGTAAAAAATATTTTCAAAAACATTAATACTTTTTGAGATAATGACTTGTACGCTTAGTGAATCATCCTGTATAAGATTTACAAATATGTTTCAAATCAAACATTCACATAAAAAAGGTATCAAATTCTATGTGCATCGTGTATGTAACCTAAAATGGATATTTGTACTGAACAAAGAGCTGATGAATAAATTATTATTTAATATTTAAGTGACTAATCAATTATTTTTAGATCGACAACTACTTTGTTGCTGTTGGAATGAATGGCAATCCATTACAAGGAGCTGGGGGCATAGGAAAAGCTATGGCTGAATGGATAATTGAAGGAAAACCTACACAAGAACATTTAGCTTTTGATGTACAACGGTTTTTAGATCTTCATAATAATAGAATGTACTTACAAGAACGTACAAAGGAAGTAGTTGGCAGGTATTATTTTTAAACAGCTAATTGTAATCAATTAATTACACTAATTATGATTTTAAATATAAATAATAGGTAAATGGTTATTTAAATATGAGGTTTCTTAACTTTTTAAAAACTTATCTAAGAAGTCATGTTTTGGAATACATAAAGTTACCATATTAATTAATGCAACTATTGAGGTTTTAGTTGTGAAAAATGATGACAGTGAGTACTGCTTAATGATCACATTAGTTTAGGCCATTTTGTTCTATTAACCAGTTGATTCCATAAAGCATATTTTTTTCAATATAATATTTGATTTGGGATTTTCATTTTTGATCCCAATTAACGATTAATTCTATAAACCAGTGATCACATTAAGCGGAACTCACTGTATATATTTTATGCAATAATTTTAAATTCAAGATTTTCTAATTTCTAATCCGTTCTTTAAATTAAATATAATAATTTGTATTTTATTTGTAAATTTATTTATTTAAGACACTATTCAATACCATTTCCTCATCAAAATGAATACAAGAATGCTAGAAAATTAAGGTGTTCACCATTATTCAGTGTTTTGGAAAAAAGAGGAGCAGTTTTTGGAACTCGAATGGGATATGAACGACCATTGTACTTTGACACAACATACAATGGTAAGTAAAAATATGTTTAAATAGGAGAATTATTGCAAGTGTACTTATTCAAAGATCAATTTTTAAAATTTCAAAAATGTAAATATAAAATATATTTAACAGGAAAAGGATCTCCTCCAGAAATGCCACCGGGTACATTTTATAAACCAAAATTCTTTGATTTTATGTTGGAAGAATATCATGCTTGCAGAGAATCTGTTGGAATTATAGATATGTCTTCGTTTTCTAAAATGAAAATTCAGGTATTTAAATTTAACATCATGTTTTTTATATTTTTTCATGTAGGTATTACCTATTGAATGTTTTCCTACATTAAACAGTATAATATTATTATTATGTAATAATTATTTGTATATATATTATACATTAAGGGAAAACAAGATATGAACGATGATACCGAGGTAAACATACTATATTTTATACGTATGCGATTAAAAATATTGCTTTTACTTATGTCTAATGTCTTCTCTTAATGCATTATTTTCAGTCTCAATGTAACGGGGTTGTCGATTGGTTACAATCTTTGTGTACAAACGATGTAAATATTCCTGTTGGCGGTATTGTCCACACAGGAATGTTGAATGAAAGAGGTGGTTACGAAAATGACTGTTTATTAGTGCGTGAACGGGAAAATTGGTGAGAGATGATAAAAACTTCTTTATTAGCACTGATTAAGCATATTATTCAGTTTTTGAGGAAAAAAGTTTGATAAAATTTAAATTCTTTAAAAAACTATTTAGTATTTATACATAATACATATTTTTAAATTATGATTTTTTTTATGGTGCTACATTTATTTATTTAACCATCTACTTGCAGTTACTTAATGGTATCACCAACCAGTCAACAAACCAGAGTTTTAGATTGGCTTAAAGACCATTTGCCAAAAGATGAATCAATTCAGCTAGCAGATATAACTTCAATGTATACTGTGGTAAACATAATTGGTCCTAAAGCAGGTGCTTTAATATCTGAACTGTCACAAACTGATGTTGACATTAATGTACAACCTTTCACATATAAGGCAAGTTTACTGTTATATTAAAAAAAAAAAAATAGTTAAAGCTACAGCTATAAATTTATTTAATTGTTGTAATTATATTTGTAGACTGTAAACATTGGTTATGCTTCTGATGTTATGATGATGGCTTTTACACATACTGGTGAACCTGGATTTTGTCTGTATATACCATCTGAATATGCACTGCACGTGTATGATCGTTTAATTTCTGTTGGATTTGACTATGGAATTAGGGATGTCGGCAGCTTAACGCAACGGTTCATGAGAATTGAGAAATTTATACCATTTTGGGCAGAAGATTTAACTCGTGACACTACACCGTTCGAAGCTGGCTGCAATCATGTTGTAAAACTTGATGTATGTGATAGTATATGTTTTAAATTATAATCTGCATCAGGCTTTGTTCAAGTATTTCATCTTTTTACAGAAAGAATACTTCATTGGGAAATTTGCACTACAACGTCAAAAAGATCAAGGAATTACCAAAAAACTTGTAATGTTTATTTTAGATGACTTAGATCCTGATAAGGATATATGGTCCTGGGGATTGGAACCTATTTACAGAAATGGTAAATTCGTTGGAACTGTAACATCAGCTGGGTAAGTGTAGCAAAGACAAATATTTTTATGCTTTATACAAACACTTAAAAATATTGTTTTCATTTTAAATTTCATAAGCATGTTATTAAGGGTAGTACCTTACTTGATAACTTAATATATAAGGAATGTTATTTATTGTAAAAATTTACAATTTTACTCAATATAATATCATGTCTTATTGATTTATTGAAAAAATATATTTACTTTATTTCAGATATGGTTTTACTATGGAAAAATTAGTATGTTTGGCATATATTCGGCGACCTTTTACAGATAACCGTAATAGAAATCATATGGTTATCACAAATGATTATATATTGTCCCCAACAGCAAAATATGAAATTGATATAGCTGGAACTAGGTTTCCAGTTACTCCAAAAATACATACTCCATGTGTGAATATAAATATGCAGAAAGTTTCAGATGACTCACAATATGTGCCAAAAGTGATATCTCAAATAAAAAGAAACTAAATAATTATTCTTAATGAACACTTTAGCATTTATGTTTGTTCTTGATTGAAAAAAGAAATAATGTAAACTGGCACCTAATGTTATAATATTAATGAAATTAATATTTTTAATAAAGTTTTGAAAAAAAATAAAAACCAAATATCATGTTTAACGTTTTTATTGAGTTATTATAAATATAAAAGTCAAACAAAATATACCACCACCAATCACTTCTTCTTCTTTCCTTTACCCTTCTTGTCAGTGGCTTTTTTCGCGGCATCTGGGTTTTCTGCAGCTTCCTTGGCTTTCTTTTCTTTGATACCAACCAATTTAGCTTCAAGTCTTGCCTGCAATCATATAACTTAATTAGAAACATTTTTAGCACTTTTAATTTATGTAAAATAAATTAAAATGTATTGATGTTTCGCCAATACGCTAACAAATAAATCAAATATGGTCGATATAAATTTAAGTATGTATACTGAGAATGTACTACTTTGTTAAGTATAAATATAAAATAAATTGTTTTGTTATTTAGAAGCTTGAAGTGGCTTGAATATAAGCTTTTTCAAGTTTAGATAATTATAATTTTTTCAAAAAAGTAGATACCTATCTTCTAATTTATTAATTATGAAATTAAAAACTAAAATTGCTTAACTTCCAGGCAAAACTTTAATAACATTGAAGACACTTAATTTGACTTGTGTCTTGTACAAAGTACATACTTATGTAGTATATGTTGCTGTTATGCACTTGTAAGATGGAGACAACAAATGGCCGTGTAGCATCCTCTTAGGATAATGTCTTATCCAAATGTGTTCTCTATCTTACAAGTGTTGCATTATTAAAGGAACACGAGAATTTAAAATTGTACTATATAATAGCAAAACAGCACTAATTGAGGCAGCGTTTGAACATGGACTTACTGTAACTGATCTTTTAATTTCTCTAAATAAGCATACATATTCTGGGTGTGAATTGAAAAAACCGGCCATGCCGTGAACTGGCCTATTAGGATTTGGCAGTTTATAGAAGCATGAATCAAAATTATAAGAATTTATTAATGTCTATAAGATAGCCTTACAACACTTTAAAAAAAGTGCTGAGAAATTACTAACCTATAGGTAATTAAATTTAAAACAAATTATTACAATTTAATTTTGTACAGGTAGACTCAAGAACCACTCATGTAAAAAACCAAAATGGTTGAGAGTAGCCCTTTTAAGGATTGTACGTTTAATATTCTACTTAATAATGTCAATTTGCTCTTATTTACATTTTTGTAAGATACAAAAATTTCTTTTTAAAGAAACAAAATAATTGATAATTTTGCACACCTATGACTCGCACGTTTGTATGGAAGCAAAATGTGGATTTTAAAAATGTGCATTAATCAGCATTAAATTCAATATTTTCCTTACCTGGCAAATAGCGTTGAAAGCATTGAACTTCTTCTCTTCATCAGTGATAGCTCGTGCTTCGGGTTCTTTGCTGACAGCCTGTTGGATGGGCAATATGACTCCCTTAAATTGTGTAGCTGTCTTGCATTCTTCTTCCTGAACAACAAATGACAAATATCAGCAATAATCCAAAGTTAAAAATAAACCCATTTATTTAGGTACACGTACAGTAGCTTCACCCTTCTTAATCTTGTTGGTTTTGCTCTTGAGTGGGAACAAAATCAATTTGGAACGGTACTCCTTCAAACGTTCAATGTTGACTTGCAACGATTCTACACTTTTGTTACGGCGCCTAGTGTCTACAGCAATGCCAATGGTACGGGCATAATGTTTATTTAAACCAACACCCTAATAAATTGTGGACACATGACTTTAGTAGATATTAATCATTCAATACTATCAAATAAATTTACCTTCAGCTCTTGCAGAGTAAAACCACGTCCGGCACGGACTTTAGTGTGGTATCGCAAAGTTGGGCAATGTACAACCGGTCTCAAAGGCCCTGCCGCTGGTTTAGGTGCCAACTCTTTGGCCTTCTTAATACGATTCTGGTGACGCCTGTATTTGCGAGCTGGTTGATTGAACCAGGTCTTAATGTACCGTTGCCAGTCTTTGTGAAAATGACCATTAGGGATCATATTATTTCCGCTTGGAGCCATCTTGATGACTTTTGTTGTTGACTACCTATATCCTAAACAGGGACAAAAGACGATTTGTTCAAAATACTATACCGGGTCACAACGAAAAGGGATACTACCTATAGGAAGGCAGGGTGATAAAAAGAAAAAAATTTAAAAATCAACTATGGGGGAGTTTAATACTTATTTAACGTATTCATTTAAATACGTACAAGAAATATTGAGATCGATCGATGTCTTAACTTCTAGGATTCAAGCGGATAAAATAATTTAGCATGTACTTACCGAAAATGAAGGAATCAACCAATTCTAAGGAGAATGAACGAATAGAAAAGGAACGTTGTTTGTTTGGTAGCTGCCGTAGTTGATAGGAGTTATCGGCTAACCTCAAAATGACGCACTACGATAGTTTTATGTTGCCCGCACTGCTTTTACGTTATTCTCCATCAAACGACATTTTTACACCGCCCCGGTGGTATCATTGATAATTAGCCGCTCAGGACAAAGTTAAAATCTAATTTTTTCACGACAATATAAATAGCTTCTACCTATCGTCTGCCGAACTTAATTGCCGAGAACCAATACTGAAGTTACGTTCGACGAGGACAGTTGACGTTCAAATTAAATTGCTCGTTCAGTCCAATATTAATAACGACACTCGTAAGTACACGCATGTTTGTTAATTTTAATTAGACATGTTACCAATATATTTTCTATGCATGTTACTTCATAATTATCATGTAAGTAACTAGGTATAATATTTTTTGTAAAAAACCCGGTTAAATGGTTTCGTCGATTTTTAACTTATAAATTATATACATTAAAATGTTAATTGATTTATTCAATGTAATTTATTTATTTACTTAATAAGTTATAATGAAATATTAATTCAAACAAATTTAAATCGAAGGAGTTATATGAGAGTGAACCAATACATTTTCTTTGCTTTTTAATTTACTATTGGCCAACTATTGTTCTATAATTTTAAATATGTTTTTGTTACAATTATAACTATTTACCCAGCAGGTATAAAATATTTAATATTTTGGAACCCATTTTTAAAATTATATAAAATTCTGTCATTTATCCATTTTAAAATTAAATAATAAATGTTAATTGTTTTTTTCTACATTTTGTTTAGTCTTAATCTTGATTAGAATTTTGAATTATATAATCTAGAACCTTAGTTCAACTGGAAGTACTGATTGAGCTTATTCTTAATTTGCTTGTCCCAAGAAATTTCAAAAGTCAAATTAGATCAATGAACAAGAAAAATAGATATTCTAGTATTTTATACTTAATATATTATAACATGCGGTACAGAATTTTATGTTATAAGATATGTCATCGTCTCCACTTTGGCCGGGACAATATATATTGAAATTTTAATGTTCAGACAACAGACTCTAAAATCTCAATTAAAGCAGACCATTTATTGTAAATTAAATTAGCCATTAACCCTCATTCAAATCAAAAAATTATGCCAGATTAAAATGTAAAAAAAACAAATTTATTAATAGGAATAACGAACTTGGAAAAAATCTAAACTACTAAAATGAAAACGGAAACGTTTTAGTTAAATATGTCACCCATTTAACTTAAGAAAGGTTAAAATATGTAATGCACATTTCACAGGCAGCATATTTAAAAACAGTTCATTTTTATTATAGTATTTAGGTTCTTTTTCCATCTTGCAAACGTATAGCATAGCAAAAGCTGTGTTTAGCAGTTCCAATTGTGTGTAATAATCTTTTAAAATAGAGTGAATTTAACTTAAGGGGATTCTACCCGGTGATTTCCTGTATTTGTCTAACACACTCGTGACATAGGATTTTAGACTTGTTCTTTGCCAGACATAGTAATTGATAAGGTGAAGCGTTAAGAATTCTGAAAACATATTTTAATTGGTCGTCAATTCTACTTGAAATCGACTTTCCCGTATTTTTGATATTATCCCTCAAATTCCTAAAAACGTTATATTAAAAAAGAGTAATTAAAAAATTGTCATACGTGGGTCTAGAATGAAAAGGTTTTAAATTGTTTTTATGCAATTGTCCAGGAGAGCAATTTTAAGGTTTGAGTTCAAATAATTTACTCTTTGAACAACATTTTTTGAAAATTAAAGTTCTAAGACATGCAACAACTTGTATAGTTTAATTCACAACATTATAATAATAATTTGCTGAATTGGTTGGTATACAAATTATAAAATGTTTCGTATGAAAAGGTTCTATAATATTAGAACCTTTTTACCTTATCATCAAATTTAAAGGTAAGAACATTTTCAGTATTCTCTCGTTGGTTTCTTACAATATTGTAATTTTTAAATGAGTAATGTGTATTTTTAAATATTAATGTTTTACAAACTTTAATATTTAAGCTAACAACACAAAATAATAACTGCTAATTGTAGATTTTAAAAATGGTATGTTATGCGTTGACAACACGGAGGCGTAATCTTTCCTTATTAGTTATTACAAATATAAATACGTAGGTACATTTAAAATTTAGAACAAGATTTTTCTAGAAATTCTCTATTTAGTAATTAGTTTATTATGTACAGCATGTTTCCATATTACCTAACCTAAGTGTAATTTAGCTTTTAATTTATAATTTATCACTAAATTGATTAACATTCATATTTCATACCCTTATAAACCCCATAAAATGTTGCTGTTCGTAGATTCATTATATGTTGGTGCCTAATTTAGTTATTTTTTAAGCTCTATAGAGAATAATAAGCAATTTGTTATCGCAGCTTTTCTTCTTTAGAATCAATATTTTAACAATGTATGCTTACACGGAGTTAAATGCAGGTATAACTAAGTAATAACATATAGGTAGGTAATAAGTAGGTAGCTACTAATTTTATTTTGTGAAATAACATAATTTCAAAATAAGTTAAATATTTTATTAGTCTTTGGGGTTTATAAATGAAATTAATAAATGTACCTAATCTATAGGTAATATTTCAGGTACCTACCTAATATAATAAAGGTATTGATAGACATTACTTATTTGGAGAAAAAACACCCAGTTAAGGGGGGGGGGGGAGGAAAAAATAATTTATTAAAATAATTTTGTTAAGTTTATAAAATGCATTATCGTGAATGTTTTCAAGCTACTTACTGATTCAGAAAAGATGCTATTTTAAAAATATAGACAAAAAGACATTAGATTTTAATCGCTCATTTGGCTTCTTATGTCAATATAATATTCTTGTGTTAAAATTGTGTAGGTATATCGTGAAAACCAATAGTTTAGGTGTAATTAGTAATTATGTTATATTTTTTTTTCGGTTAAACTGTACCTACACTTTGAAAAAGTAATATAATTTACAAACACAATCAGATTAATCATGAACTGTGAACAGTAGATACCTATATACTAGAGAGTTGTAGGTATATTACCAAAACATTTACGTGGACTATGATCTTACATAATAATAATGGCAGTATTCAGAAATAGGAATTACCACTAAAAAAAAAAAGTAAACACATCGTTAGTACACTTCATTATAACAATACCATTAAAATTCACTTGTTTAAAAATTATAACATGTACCGATACAATATTTCACTCAATAATGAATTAAATAATTAAGTATAAACGACATCTATAGTAAATTACTAATATATAGAACAATAATTTTAATCTATATACCTACTTTAAATGTTTGTTTTAACAATTAAAACAGTATAATTGTAATTATTTTGTTATGTAAGCTATTCACCTGACCTGTATTTTTAAGATGTCAATTTAATAATTCAATGAGGTAATACATTTTAACTTATAAGTACTATAAATGATATTTTATTAGGGTGTTAAACTGTTAAATATGTAACTAATAATACAGTTATACACCTACATACGTACCTCCTACCATTGATTATAAATACTTGTATTTATAATCAATCCTCCTACTTATAAGTTATGTCTTATAAGATCGGGTTTATCCTCTATTCGGGTTTATGATTATTCAATTTACGATTTTTATGGGAGTTTTTATGATTTATGTGACCTTAGATTTATATAGGTGCAAGAACTTGGATTAAATAAAAGAATTATTTTATAATTTAAAATTATCTCAGGTTAAAGTTTAATAATGTATGTTAACTGTTTTTAGCATGTTTAAATATTATTAATTATTGTACTGAAGATAAGAACGCTCACATGACTACAATCCATTGGTAGGTATATCTACCTACATTTTTTTGAAAACCTTATTTTCGAGCGAATAAGAACCATATTTTAGGATAGTCATAACTCATTGATCATGATAGACCATACTCAAGAAACTAAATGTATAGAGGATACATTTGGCCTGTTCTTACATTTAAGTTTGATAATAGGTCAATTGACAATTCCCTATAATATTTAAGCTAATAATACAAAAATGGAATTGCTGGACGTACATGTTGGTATAATATTATGCTTTAGTAAAACGGAGACAACACATACGGGTACGACGTCCTATGTTTTGAGTGTACCAAGGTCATTGAGCTGGCCACTGTAATGGATATAATATTATTATCTTTGAATCCGCTATTTTCAAGAATATTTTATTATTTATTTTTCTACTAAGGTACGGTTTCTTAGGCGCGGCTAGCGACCGACTGCTCACAGCCGCTGCGGCTATAATACTGTTCCATAGCACAACAGTCGTTGTGGCTCTAGTAGGTATATTGAACTTTTTGTTGTCAAAATAAAACATAATAATATATTAATATTATATTAATAACTTTTATAATATTATTATCTATCTATATCATAGACCTTATACTAATCGTATATTATAATTGTACACACGATTTAAGATGGTACCTACCTACTATCTTAAATTGGCCGGAATCGTGATTGTACTAATGCGAATGTGCCCTGTCCCTGTGCTTCAGTACTATGTAACATCTATGTTAGACGCGGTCGGTCTTTGAAGCATATAACTAGTAACTACCTACTATGTTCCGTCTGTTAGTATAAGATCTATGATCTGTATATATTATAAACATATGTTTGTCTGTATGTAATTAATGGACTACTGGATTGTTTTAAATAAAAGTTATATTAATAAATTCCTTGAAACTTGAAGGGTGTTTGAACGTTAAAGTTTATTTTTCTTCCCCTATAGGTAGTCTAAGGGTAGCATTAATTTAGTTTTAAGCTCACGAAAGAAGAATAATTTTTTTGTTGATTAACATGGTCGCCATTGGTTATAATTTATAATTAAGTAGACATATGGCATAACCATTTTTTATAAAATTACAAAGAAAAAACAAATCTTTGGCACGAGCAACTCCGGGCGGAACAGCAACAGTATCATATATTATTATTGTTATTAAGTTATAAACTTATTATAGGTCATTACAGTGTATCATAGAACGGCGTGTGAATAGGTTTGTGGTATAATAGAATTGCCAACAATAGTTTAAATATTTTTTAAATTACATTGTGTACCTATTCAAAATAGGTAACAATGTTTTCACTTAATTATTTTCCTGATAAAATTTAATATAATATTATTAAATTGTAATTTGTATCAAAAGTATAGTTGTTCATTGAAAATTAAAATAAAAACTATTTAAATTGTACCAATGCTATTATTACAATATTTTAATCATTGTAGAACTCTTCAATTATATAAAATAACTTGGAAGCTTTACAAAAACACTATTTCATTAGTATCGTGTTTGTTTGGAGCGATAAATGTTAAAATGTATGGTTATTTAAACGATGTGTATTTTGGTTTGAGCTATTTGTTAACTTTTGAAATTTTAGACTTTTTTTTTCGGTTTTTGTTAATAAATGATTTGTTTCTCAATTAAAAAGCTTGAAAATTGAATATATAAGGTTCCTTTTAAGTTTTCCTTTCGGTAATTAAAAAAATATCGAAAATACATCGGGATAAATAGGCATTTGATGGCTTAACTTTACAAAACTGAGTATTTGATTTTAGTTAGGGTAATTCAAAAAATATTTACTGTAGCATTTTGACACATATTACACTATTATTATTATTTCCCATAGTTCTATACACAATTAAATTTTCAAAATAGACTAATTTTAGCTCCTTATACCATGAATCTTTTTACACAATTCTATGGTATGTCGGTCTTGACTATTATATAATTTGGAAGCAATATTTTTGGCAACAACTATTAGTTCAACCCACTAAATAAAAAAAACAGTAAACACAAATAAAAATAAAAATATAAGATAAGATAAGCCAGATATCCTTTGAAATATATCCCGATCTATTGTCAGAGAAAGAAAAATCCAATGATAGCTCCCTTATTTTTTTCTTTATGGACTAAATTTAAAAATAATACAACATATTATATTCTACATTAATATTAATTTTTACATGATAAATTATTTATTACCTAATAGAGTTAATAATTGTCAAAAATAATATAAACATTTAAAAATATAATTTGCAGTACAATGACGATTGAAAGCAAATTGTTTAATCTGTGTATTGATGCGAGTCCACCCAGGAATGAACCATTAGTAGCCAAGTATATGAGGTATTTTCATTTTTTTTTAAAATGTTTTTGGTTTGAGTACCTATCTTATTTTAATAATTAATTTCCATAGGAGTTTTGCTTTTCCTGTACTATCGAAACTAAGTCCATTTAACATATCCAAGACAGGTAGTTACTTATCAGCAAATAAGGATGTTATTTTACAAAAATATGGAGCGGTAAGTACCTAAATTTAAAAAAATAATAATTAAATATGCAATATTTTTTATAGTAATAATAGATATGATGAAGAGTAATTAAAATTTAACCGTAGTAATATGAGCTTTATTTACATGGGTTGGGATCACATTTACTTACTTCAATTTAAACACACATGCCCAATTACAATATTTTATGTAGTTGTAATAAGTACCTACCTATACCAAGGGTGGTCAAATTTGTTTTGATTAAGATCTACTGAGTATATATTTTTTCTTTTAAGATCGACTAATGTAAAAAAAAATTTAATATTAATAATAAACATACTTATATAAATAATAAAATTAAAGTGTTAAGTTATCTAAAATGAGTGTTTCATGTTAAATTTTTAAGTAATTTTAAAATGTATTAACATTTTACTGTTGATGTAGAAGCGTGTCATTGCACATCATGACCAAGCGAAGACGCTGTGCTAAAGTCTAAAACTAACCTACTCAGCTTCTATAAATTATAACTTTCATGTGAGAAAATGCCATTTCACACTAACAGTTTAATCCGAAATATATGTATTTAATAAGTGTATCTACTAAATTACAAATATATAAGAATAATTAATAAATTCTAACAATGGGGATCGACTTAGAAATCGTCCAAGATCGACCAGTCGATCGCGATCAACTGTTTGGCCACCCCTAACCTATACATTATACTTCATTTTATTAATAGGTGGATAATTGATGAATATAGATTTTTTCATATACAAAGTTCATATTATTTTTTTATATAATAAAATTGCATGATTCCTTGGGATTAAGACACTTGCCACTTGGTGTATATAGTAACTATATTTAGTACCTAAATACATTTTACATAGACACATAGTTAGTGTATTATGTAGGTACATTTAAGATAACAGACAGTGGTTTTAAATTGTGATTCTATTGTGATGAGTTATGATAACAATTCACTAATTATATTCACTCCTTTTATGTTTAAAAGAAGTATAATTATGATTAACGTGTGATATTGTTATAAAACATGATTGACCACGTGCTTTTAAATCATGCTATATAGAGTTTAAACTGATATACATTGAAAGTATAACGTGATTACTGATTAGTAAAATGAAAATAAAAATATTATTATAAATATTTATAGCTATAATATTAGTGAAAAAACATTTTAAACCTTGACCTGAATAGTGAATTATTGTTATGATATTAAAAATAATATTATTAATTATTATACTTATACTTATTTCTGACTGTCATCACTTGCGGTTTATATGCAGTTGAAGATCGTCCTAAAATTTTTATTTTTCATAAATTATAAAATGTATATAGGTACCTACTTATATAATACCTTTGAGATATATTTTAACCATCCAACAAATGAGTTTTCTTTTTTTTCAATGTTAATTACTTACATCAGCTATACATAGTACAATATAATCATATTCATAATATATTCATAGTAACAATAATTTTGTACACTCCATTTTCTATACATATTTGTAATGGTGTTTTTTTGTATACCTACTGTCAAACGGCTATAAGCAGAATGATAATTACTATTTTTTTTTTAAATTATTGATAGAAATGGTTATAGGGGCAACAATATTTTATTCAGCATTGAAATGAACTAATTTGGAAAAAATATGTATGTTTTATACTGAAACCGTATATAGCATCTGACTAAAAGCATAAAAAAAATCAATTAACAAACAATACAACAAGTAACAACACGTATAGGACATAGGTTTACATATTTATAGTCGCAAGATATTGAGTACATACAAATTAATATGTGCATGTTCGGTGTATATATTTGGCTACTGACTACTATGTACCTACATAATTTGTCTACCTACTTGTACAAGAATCTTTTTTAAAACAGAAAATATTATTAGCTCAGTCAGCATTGAAATGTTAATGGTAGGTACCTCCTTTCAAGCTCAAATTACTACCACAATCGCATCATGTTTAAATTGAGTTAATTCTGTTCACAATTAGTATATTGTGTGCTTTATTAGTAGGTATATTTTTAATTTTTAAAGCTTTAATTTTTAACTCATATTTGAATATTATGAATGGCTACTAACACAACTTTATACTTTTTAAGTAAGTACCTACTTATTTTCCTTAACAATAATCGTGATCACCATATTTAAAAAGTGAAATACAAGTAAATAAAAATGTAGGTACAATAATTGTTATCCTTGAACAATGAAAATAACTACTATTAAATATAGCTTATTATACTTTATAATTTGTTTTTGATTAAAATATAATACATGTTGATGTAAAAATGTAAAATATAGGATACGTATTATAAGTATGTCATAGTGTTTTACATTTTATTATGTGGGTACAATTACTAACAACTAAATATTATAAATAGTCATATATTTTATTTGGTCTTAGAGAGGGAATCAATATCATGCTTAGTATATAAAATGTATAATTTCAGGAAGCTGAAAATGATATTACATCAGTTTTGGAAAAATTGGATTCTTTAATAGCAGATATTTTAAGCAATTCACCATTTAGAGAATTAAGTTCTGATAACATAGATGTTAAAATTTGGAATAAAATTCTCGATGACTTTTCTGATCAAGATGGAAGTCGGCCAACTTGGGTGTATACTAACTGGTTGTATACCGAATGTTATATACATCGTCGTATATTTGAAGCCTTTGAAACTAGGTTAGTGGTTGTCTGAATAATAGTTGCGTAAAATTATTTTAGATAAGTTTTCATTAACATTACATTTGTACGTAATCATATTCTTATTTTGTATATTTTAGTACATTCTTAAAAAACTATGATCCATTTTATGAGCAAAAAATGAAGGCTTTATCGCATTGTGAAGAAGCTATGGATATTTTGGGAAAATTCCTAATCAAATATTTCAATAAAAACGATGTTCAGTTAAAAAATCTTCGTGACGACTTACCGAAAATCATCAAGTGTGCCTTGTGGGGAAATCGTTGCGATCTTTCACAAACTGGTGGTGATGCTATTGCACAAACTGAGAGCCCTTTAGATTTGGTTGAATCATTACAAGATCTTATGCTTGCTGACGAATCATCTAAAGTAGTAGATTTTTTATTTGCTTCACTCAATGAATCCAAAGACAATAAAATTTTAGGTAATTGATTTTATCATGTTTTTTTATAAACTAACGGTTTGTATTAATACCTACCTAAAGTTTTTTACATAAATACATAATATCATCAAAATGTGTTACTTTTTAAACTTGTATTTTACGTCCATGTTGACCAAATGTTTATACTTATTCTATATGCAATTTATTTTTAGATATCATATTGGACAATGCGGGCTATGAACTTTTCACGGACTTATGTTTAGCTGATTATTTGGTGACATATAAATTCGTAAACACTGTACGGTTTCATGGAAAAGCTATACCATGGTTTGTATCTGATGTAACCAGTCAGGATTTCACAGCTACTATAAATTGTATAGCTCATACATCTAAGAGTGAAACATTAAAGGAATTAGGCAAGCGTTGGGAAGGCTATTTTAAATCAGGTATGTGAATTTAATATCAAATAAATTATAAAATATAAAATTAAACCCAATATTAAAACTATACTATTTCAATCATTTAAAATAACAAAATCGGGAAAACGGCCAATTTTTTTAATCAAAGAGGTTAACAAAAAAATGTGTTAAGATTTTATTCAACACTTAAAGTCGAATAACAAATCTGTTGTTTTTTTATATATCTGTGCTCAATACATGCAGGTTATACACTCTAAACAGTTAAATATAAAAATTAATTTCTATGGTATAGAAACTAGGGAAAATATTTGTGTAATGTATAATTATGTCCTGTATAATGATATTATGGATATTTAACTGTATAATTTATTAAAATATAGAATATTAATGTATTAGTAATTTAATAAATTCATGATAGTAACATAATGTCTATGTTATTATATTTACAGGTCAATGGACATTTGAAAGTGAACAATTTTGGACATTGCCATTTAACTTTGGTCAAATGAAATCATTAGATAATGAATTATATTCCAAACTTTCGGAGTCATTTTTAATCATATCCAAAGGAGATCTAAACTACAGGAAACTAGTCGGAGATATATTTTGGGAGCCTACTGTACCTTTTACTCAAGCAGTGGGCAGTTTTAAGCCTTCTAAATTACTAGCATTAAGAACCTTGAAATCGGATATCACTTGTGGCTTACCAGAAGGTTTAGCAGAACATATATCAAAAAATGATCCAGATTGGTTAAAAATCGGCAAATATGCCGTTATTCATGTAGATGGTCTTTAAAATGTAGTATTATCTATATCGTGATTAAAAACATATATTATTAATTTAGATATATTAGAAAATGATTGTTATCAAGAATTAAAACATGTAATCAAAATATATTGAATTTTAATTAGTTATTATACTGATTACCTACACATTTTATGGTGAATATATTATATACTAGCTTAAGTTATTATTAGCTTATATAAAAACTTATTAAATGCTAAATCATATTTATATAGACTACAGATAAGTAAATATAAATAGCAACTTTTAATATTTGTCTTAAATTTATATTTCAAGTTAAATATATATACTAGTATGTTTTAAAATGTATTAAATATAGTCAATTTTAGAAATTATTTTAATTTCTGATTTTTTTAATATTACAATATTATACATATTATATAAAAAAAAGTTTTTAATTATTTAATGGGAAATCTTATATTTAAGAACAAACAAGCGTAAACATTGATATTTCATAATAATATGTTATGATTGGGGGTTAAAAAATGTATTCTTTTGTGGTTGTTTATATTATAATAATTTTAAAACCACATTAGATTAATATTGATAAATATTATGTGTTACAACTTGGGTGTATCAGAATAAAATCATCTCTAAGGATAGTTTCTTGATTTAGATGTTATAATAATAATATTAATAAATAATAATCAATGACACAGTCAGGATTTTGAAATAAACAGGATACTGGGGAGGGGGAATATTTGTCTTTCGGTCAAAAAGCTTTAAAATGTAATTCATGGTTCATCATAAATTGTTCTTGTAGCAATTTAAAATTATCAAAAATACATATACACACAACTTTTTTATTGCCTTATTGAATTTCTAATTTTGACAAAATTGGTTATTTTAAATGAAAAATAAAAATATTTTCAAATATTATCTTGGTTATTTTATTCAAAATATTTTATTGCACAATGAAATTTTCAAAATATTTATATTAATATTACATAGGTACCTATTTATGTAAATTTACTTAAAAGTTTTTTTTTAATTTAACCAACATTCACATCCGTTACAGTGAGTTGTAGTGATGAGGTAGTTTCGTATATGATTTTGATATAAATTATTAAGTACTACGTAAACACGACGAATACCTACCGGGAATATGAACAAAACAGCATGCGTATTTAATCGAGGAAAAAATAAAAAATAAATTAATAAACTATTATTAAATTATTTTGTTGTCCATATAAATACTACCTAGATGACTGGACACCTAGGTGAAACCCATATTGATATAAACCGTAAAAGCTGATCAAGAAATCATGAAACATATATATAATTATTAAGGGGATTCGATACCGTGATTTTCTGTTTTTGTCTAACACATGCACGACATAGTATTATAGACGTGTTTTTTTGCCAAACATACCAATTGATCTAATGAAATGATAAGAATTCTAAAAACAGATTTTAATTAATCTTGACGTCTACTTGAAATCGACTTTCCCATATTTTAGATTCCGAGTGGAACGATGAATGTATTGATTTTACAATGATGTGTGTTTTTTATTTTTTATTTTATTTGTGTCTGTGTACACGATAAGTATAGTCGAAATAATGCTTCGATTTTCAACTTCAGTATCTTGTTCGATTGGAAGGTGAATATCGTTGGTGCATTGGGTAGGTCAAAATTTAAAATTCTCAGTAATTTTCAAAAGCGATAAGAAAAACAAAAGAAAAATTAAGGAAAAACAGGAATTTTTACGCAAAATCGAATTTGGTTTTTGGTGTAACTTTAAAACAAATGACCGTAGATACATGAGATTTCCACTGGTTGTTTATATTTGCATTTTCTATACACGATACCATTTTCCAAATATTTTGATTTATTTTGAAATGTTTAGGGACATTTTCAGTTTCCAATTTTATTAGTTTTTTTTTATGAATATCAATAAAATTTTATTTATTGAGTAAAAATACTTGAAAATTTAATAGAAGGCTCCTAGTATATTGTTTCAAAGGCAGATGAAAAATATTAAAAATCCTTAGTCACAGTTTTTTTTATAAGCATTTAAAGTTCAAAAATTGACAAAATATGGAAAAATCACAAAAATTATTTTGAGTTAAGAATTCGTAAAAATATTTCTTTTTAAATCTAAGATTTGAAAATGTAATACAAGATTCCTCATAGGTTTGTCTACCTTTATCAAAAAAAAAATGTCTATAAGAAAGTCAAATTAAATTTTTATGAGCGTTTGAAATTAAAATTTGTACAACATTGGATAATAGCGATTTCCTTATTTTGTTGTAATTAAAAAACGAATAACTGTAGATACATGAACATTTCACTGAATATTTATATTAGCATTTCCTATACACCATCCAATTTTGAAAATATTTTGACTCTTTTTGAGCTGTTTACGGACATTTAAAGTTTTAATTTTTTTTAGTTTTTTTTTTCTATAAATATAAATTAAGTTTTATCTGTTGGGCCCAAAAGTGTAAACATTTAATACAAGGCTCCTGATATATTGTTACAATATCAGTTGAAAAATATTAAAAATACATAGGCACATTTTTTTTTTATAAGCATTTAAAGATCGAATTTTGACAAAATTTATCAAATTTAAAATTGAATATTTATTTTGTAGTTAAAAATTTATAAAATGTTCAACTTTTATATCTAAGGATTGAAATTTTATAAAAAAATTCCACGTAAGTAGTTAATTCTGTTACCAAAAAATCTAAAAAATACATAAGCACAGTTTATTTTTATAGTCATTTTAAGTTCAAATATGGATGAAATTACACAATAAAAAACCTAGAATAACTATTTTAGTTATATTACTGTGATTATATAATATTATTCGTGGGTAATTGAAACTTCTAAAGTGTACTATTATACATCTATAATAGTATCACGGTTTGTTGTTTTTTAATCATTTTCAGGAATTTGGGGGATAATATCAAAAATGTGGGAAAGTTAATGTCAAGTAGACTTGACGAAAAATTCAAATCTGTTTTCAGAATTCTAAACGCTTTATTAAATCAATTGGTATGTTGGGAAAAAAACACGTCTAAAATACTATGTCACGCGTGTGTAAGACAAAAACAGAAAATCACGGTATTGAATCCCCTTAACTACTTGATCATGAGACAATTAATATAGATACACATACTTGGATTTATTATTTACAACCTAATAATTGTGGATATCTGGTATTATGTCATTATGAAGAGATTACAGTGGATTCCGCTTAATGAGGGCACGTTGGGACCATCCCTGTTTGCCCATATTTAGCGGTTGCCTGTTAAATTACTACATAAATAAAACTAAATATAACATACTAAATAAAATTACTATTTTGATGTGGATGGTGTACAAAACGTTGTAATTGTAATTTCAAAGAACATAACATAGTTGATTTAAATTACCTTTTAATAAAATTCAAATAAGCTTTCAAAATATCTACTCAATAATTGGTACACTAAATTGTTGTCCATTTATATGTCCATTTCACTAATTTTTTTCATTGACCATTTTTGTACTTGGACATATTTTCCTCTGATCATTTTTAAATTTTTGTAAATAGACATTATTACCTTGACTTCTTAGTTCTTACTTCTTACTCATTTTGTTGAGGGGAGGCTGTGCTCCATTCGACTATTATATATATTAAAATTTAAAAAGTTATGATGTGAAAACTTTTAAGCTATTAATTATTTTAACTTTTAAGAATTGATAACACGTCAAGTGTCTGGTAAATTTGCCATTGCCAGCTAATTAGTACCTATGTACATGGCAACATGTCTTTAATGGAATACCTAGTAGGAACGTCGTACTAATAAAATAATTGGTTTGAGCTTTAAGAATCTTCGTAAGCAAAGGAGATACTAATAAGATGTTGGGTAAAAGTAATAGTGTCAAATCCTTGGTAATAAAAAATTCCATTGGCTTTCTACTATTTGAGTTACTCGCTTAATAACATTATCAATCTATAAAATAATTAATAACAATCTATAATAGTATTATAGATTTATAATTAATACCATGATAAATATTTAATAATATAATATACCTATTGATTAAAAATTATAATGTATTATAAATATATGCTTATGATTTTTAATTCAATCAATTATTGGCTATCACCTATCTTTTGGTTTGGTTTTAATCTAATTTTTAATAAGTATATGAACTATGAATAAGTAGTTGTTTATTATGAATCATTGCGATTAGTAGGGACCTATATGATATTATTATATCCATAAAAAATAAAATAAAATAAAATATTGTGTTGTTGATATCTATGACCTTTTTTTTTTTTTTAAAAAAAACACAACATTGATAACTGTAAATATTTTAAAAATATTATCATATTATTATGGATAAATGCTTATAATAAAATATAATATGCACTACTGTACTAATGTACTATCATAATATGCAGTTCAGGTGGTTTAATTATATAATATGTGTAAGCAAAGATTTGTGGACAATGGACATTGGACATTTTATACAGGTCGAAAGTGCATAAGAGTGATTTTTGTTTTCAGTTTGCAGTGTTGGTTTTATGAGTCAATTAAAAATATTTTTTTTCAAATTACTGACAATTGTTCGGAACTAAACAATCATATTAAATTCATTATAGAGCTGTTATTAATGCTGTGTAGTATGGAAATAATTTGACAACATTTGAGCAGATTACACATACAATTTTCTAATCAAATTTTTAAAATATTTACCTAATGGAAAATAAAGCAATGACATTGTTTCTGAAAAGTACGTGTATAATTTAATATTTAAAATTTATATTTTCACTTTTTAAAATGTGGTCAATTCTGTAAAATGCAATAAAATATACTTCTTTAATTAATTTCAATAACACTCGTCAATATTTATACTGACCAAAAAATAATTGAATGTTTATGTTTTCTCTTATAAACTTTATAAACTAATTGTGATTGTGTATTACAGGTTAATTTATATTTTATTGTTTTGCTGACCTCACAATTATTAGAATAGTTAAGGTCCGTAAGGAACTCATAACCAACCATATATTTTGATTGGGGTTTTTTATTGATTATAAGTTGCATTAAAATTGTCAAGAGTATTCAATATCATTTTATTTTAATAAATAATAACATATATTATAATACAATTTAGCTATAGGTACCTAATATGAATGCAATTAATTTAGGTACGCGGAAAAACTTTTAAAATTCATATTTTCTCAATCGAGTTGTAACTTGTAATTAAGTAATATCTTGGATTTCTGATAATAGTACGTATTACGTATACCACGACAAAAAAATGCGGAGATCGTTGGAGACCCGAACGCTCTAGAACATTCATCGGACGTCAAAACACAGCAATAAAAATAAGTATAGATCGCGACCCCAGCTGTACCCATCGTTATTGATACATAACTCTGTATACACGCGTGTTATTATAAATTATGATTACATAGTATGATAAATGATAATATCACTAATGTATAATATTATAATAAATATTTTATCGATAGCAGTGTCCATAATAACGTATTATTTAATCTTTTGTTTATCTAAATTCCTTCGCGAACCACCTAGAACATTCTACGGCAACACCTACACGTATGATAGTATAACGAATTCAAGTCAACATGGAGCGCATTGACGCATGGAGTTGAAACAAAATATCTATATACAAGGTGATTCACCAAGTATACTCGTTCCCCAATTTTTCGTTTAATAATGAATTTATTCAAATTCTGATTTATGAAATTTTCAACATACGCTCAAATGTTTAATGACCATATTGTTTTCAAATTGTTAAATTTGTTTGTAGGTATACATAAGGAGTGTCCTCTGGCGATACAAACTTCAGCTGTTTTTCAAATGACAACCCCTTTATTTTTACTGTACATTATTTAGACCATAATTGTATTGAATATTATTTATTTTATATTTTATTTCAGTGTCAGTACCATTACAAAATAAATTTCGAAAAATATACACTTGTACCGTGTAATTACTATGAGAAATACGTTTTACAGATACTTTTTTAATGTAAACCAATAGTTAATTATAGTTTATGTGTTACAGACACGAAGTGGGTCGATTTTTATCGTGGTTACATATTTAAAACTAATAAAATAAACCACAAATTAATTTTTTTCTGGCCTATTAATTATATTATAACAAATATAATATATCGTTTAAATTGTCATGGAATATTAAGTGGTATTACAGTTGTATATTGATACAACGTATAATTTATTTTAAACAGTTGTTTGAAATAAATGAATAATAAAATAATAAAATAAAATACTTAGGTATGGAGAACGTACCAAATATTGACCATATTGATGGTAAATCATTGATTGATTCAAATAAGTATCTTATAATTTTGTATATATTTAAAATATGTTTTGTTTTAAAATATTTTATAATTTTAGTTTAAGCGCGTACAATAGGTATATCAATACGATGATGGCTATTTGATAACATTTGATTTGTTTAACTTAAATATATTGTTTTTAAATTAATTTGTCTAGTAAACACTGTGACCGAAGAAGTAACCAAAATATTTGGAAAAAACGGTAGAAGCAAATTAAAAGCGTTAGTGAAGAATGAAAAAGTTTATTCAAAGTAAAGTGTTAAAAACAATTTTATTATATTAGGTAGGTATATTATCTTATCTCAACTATAACGGAGTATTTTTATTATAATTATTAGCATTGATAAGTTGAAAGAAGATATGGAAATATTAGCTGACAAATCAGCATTTGATGAACTGTTAACATTTGAAAAAGCGTATTTTGAAAATTTCGAATCTTTTAATTCAAACCACCGTTCCGGACACATGGTGTTGACTGGATTCAATACGATGTACTCAAGGAGTAATATGGCGACTATGAAATCGGTGCATAGCATAAAAAATGATGATAACGTTTATCAATACGAAGTACAACTTAATTCTAATGGGCCAATGCGTATAGGATGGGCCACTCAAAAGTGTACGTTTACCGACGAACAGGGAGTAGGTATTTAACATAATATTTCAATTACAAAAAGTATAATCTATATTAAGACAGTGCCAAACTATATTGGTTTATCGATGATGATTTATTATAATGTAATATTATTTATCCTTTATACATTATTCTAGGAGAAACAGAAAATTCGTATGGTTTCGATGGTTATCGGTTAGAAAAGTGGAGTATGTCAAATGCGACGATATACGGTCGAAAATGGAGAGTCGGAAATATAATCGGTTGCACTATTGACTTAACACACAAGTCTATGGAATTTTTCAAGTATTACTCTTGACATTTTACTATAATATAAGTTTAACAGTATAGCCAGTGACGTATATAGGGGGTGGGCCATCGACATTTTCACTTCTATAAGCGGCCCATTTACATATTCAGTGGCCCAAATTTACATCTATAATTTTTACGAGCTTATAGGTGGCCAATTGTATTTTAAACGTGAATTTTTTTTCAGTCACACTCACACGACAGGCCCAAACTTTAAGCGTCCCACTGAGATTTTCTAGGTAGCTCGCCTAACCAATCTGGCCCTGGTGAGCCTAGTAGTAGGCTGCGGCCTCCCCCTCCCCCTAAATTACAGTATTTTTAAATAGAACAACAATATATTTTACTAGGTACTATTATAAGTTATAATATTTCATAGCCTGTTGAAAAATAATAAATACGAATATATTTATAGAAACTGTTAAATATATAGTAGACAGTAGCCTCTAAGTAATAGATCACCTGTTAGCTCCTATCTACTATAGCCCACCCCAAAAATTATAACTATATATTTAAGCCACTGTATAAATACTTTATAGCTGGTAGTTTAATTAAATAGGAATTCAAATAACAATAAGAAGAAATGGAATCTACTATCTATATACAGAACATATACAAGGGGTGAAGTGGGGGTCCCATTGGCTTTGGAGTGGATTATCTTCCATATTGTGATAGATGTGAATTTTAAATCAATTCAAATTATATTCATTGTTCCTTATTGATAACTATTATTATTAACTACCTAAGATAAAAGTTTTGGGAGGGTGAGGGATTTTCCTATTTTTCCCCTCTCATTAGCTGTGTTTTATTTTTTTCTCCCCCCCCCCGCTTCATAAATCATGACCAACGCCACTGAATCCAGGTGGGGTTAATTAATCTCTAAAGAACGACGTACCGCGTGTGGCGTATCCGTCTTACAAACTCATTAAATATTAAAAAGTACTTCCAGCTGTTCCAGTTTTGTGTTGTTAGCTTAAATATTAGGGTGAATTGACCCTTATCAAACTTAAATGTAAGAATATTATCTGAGTTTTCTCATTGGTTTTTTAAGATATTTTATTTTTAAGTGAATTATGAGCTTTTCCAAGCATTAATATTTTACAAATGAATTTGTAAAGTATTAATATATATACCAAAATGTAAGTATGTAAAGAATAATAATTGGAAAAGCACATAATTCACTTAAAAATTAAAAAAAACCAATGAGAAAACTCAGATAATATTCTTACATTTAAGTTTGATAATAGGTAAATTCTGAATCTACTCTAATATTTAATTAGCTAACTAGGAAGTTAGTACAAAATTGGAATTGCTGGACGTACATTTTGATATAATTATAATGAGTTTGTAATACGGATACGACACACGTGGGTACGTATCGTGCTTTTAGATATTAATGAACCACCTGTATTCAGTGGCGTGGACATGATTTATGAAAGCGGGAGGGGGGAGGCAAAAAAATAAAACGACAGCTAAATGAGAGGGGAAAATCCCCCACCCTCTCAAAACTTTTACATTAGGTAGTTGATTATCTAACAATAAGAATTTTTAATTTGAATTGATTCAAAATTCACATCTATCACAATATGGAAGATTATCCGCTCCAAAGCCGTTAGGTAATAAGATGGAGACAACATATTCTTATGGGTACAATGTCCACTTTAGGAAAAAATTTTTGGTGATTATGCATTATAGATTATTTTTTTATGTTTAAATGAGTTTTTTTTATATCAAGTTTAAATAAAAATAGTATTCGAAGTAGACGTTTAAAAATAAACACTTAGTTTTATGTCGATGTAACTCTTAGTTCATGCAAAAATGCTTGTATAAATAATGAATGGGCTAAGATTTAAGACAATGCTAATAATGTTTGTAAACCATACAGGTTTATTCATATTTTAATAATTATGCACTTTATTCAAACCCTAATTTTTGTAATTTTCAAGTATACTTCTTTGAGTACATAAACAATAATAATAATCTGTTGAATAAGGTACAGTTAACAATTATATTATATTGAAATAGGACTGCACTTCTTAAATGTCATAATAATCTAAGAATATGAAAATATATGCTTTTTAAGTACGCTTAAGAACTCGGTTGTTTATGGTATTATACTTTTTTATTTTAGAGCATTTTTAAACTTCAATACCAAACATGCTTGTAAATCGTTTAATAATTTTACTGTCATAAGAAATCAAGGTTCATACACAAATAATAATTTTACTTTTAAGTTTGATAATAACTAAAACCTCTTTAATATTGAAGCTAACAACACAAAATTGGTTCTGATGAACGCAAATTTGTTATGTGTCACACACTCGTACACGGTACACTCATACGTTTATAAAACGGATATAGATGGGTTCATGATACAATCTTGCCTAAAAATAATATTATTAACGTAACTAGTTTAACATAAATTAGATATGAAGTATTATAAACTGCATCTGTACACTGAATTAAAAAAATTATGTTCGTAACATTTTAGCCACGTATATACTTATAGTGAAAAAACACACAATATTGCAGTTGTCATTTATATATTTTTTAGTAATGGTCAATCACTTGGTGTAATATCCGAAGAGTTATTAAACAAAGGTGACTTGACGTATTTTCCTGCATTAACTCTTTCCGAAGAAGAAAATGTGACTGTTAATTTGGGCGGAAGACCATTTAAATTTCCAGTGTTAAGATCAAACCCTATAATCGATAGTCCGATAGTCTTAATTAACTATTTCAGACAACTTGAGAAAAACATGATCGCTTTAATCGATACCCAAATCAGTTTAAATAAAATGAATGTGAGTTCTATACTTTCATATTCGAAATTATTTTTTAAACTCTATAGTGACTTCATATTTTCAGACGAAGAATAGTTTAAAACACTACGATAAAATAAAAGTTAATAATGTTATAAAAAATATATTGTTTCGTCAATTTGAACACTTGTTGAAGAATCAATTTATTATAGATAGCTGTTTTATATTATTCTTAAGTAATTTGAACAAAAAAAATCCTCAAAAGCTAATAGTTTTTTTTGAACTAATGTGGGAAATCGTACCTGTAAGTTATATATTTTTAACATGGTATATAATAATAGTGTATACGAATATAATAATTTGTTAATAATTGTGTTATACACGTCATAATATTACGCATTTACGTACATTGTACTATAGTCAGTCATGTATTAATCTGAAATATTTGATTGTCATTAGGTACAATTACAACAACTAATATGTTATTTTAGATTCCGAGAGGAAAATTGATTTTATTGGTTTGTGAATTTATGATGTACTGATATGTGTGTTATTTTTTTTGTTTGTCATCATCTTCTGGGGCAGAAACAATACTTCAATCTTTAACTTTGAGAGTGGTTTTTGGTAGCAAATCGTATCTAGTTAGTCACAATTAATAATGTCACTAGCTTAGCTCAGAGTTAATAATTTCATGCGAATTACATTTTGTTTTGAATTAAGATCTGTATTTACACATAGGTAACTTATCGATTCAGATACAATTATAATGACCGGTATTAAAAATAAAAAGGTGGGCAAGTGGGTGACGCTCTGCTGTACAGTAGGTTACAACTAGTTACAAGTAGGTCACTGTAATGGATTGTGTTAAATTTGAATTCCGATTCTGAGCGAAGACCGTCGTCAACCTATAATATTAGTTATTACTTATTACTAAGTATATTTGATGATATTATTGTGAATAAAGTAATTTATATATAACCTATTTACCTTATTTTACATTTTCAATCCTTAGCTATAAAAGTTGAACATTTTATAAATTTTTAAACTTGATACTTTTTGTCATAATTCGAACTTCACATGCTCTTAAAAAAAACTGTGCCTCTGTATTTTTAATATTTTTCAACTACTATTGTATTACAATATATCAGGAGCCTTGCATTCAATTTTCACGCTTTTTTACCCAACAAATACAATTTTATTGATATTTATAGAAAAAAAAATTAAGAAAACTGAAAATTGACAATGTTCGTAAACAGCTCAAAAAGAGTCAAATTATTTTCTAAATTGTATAGTGTACAAGAAATGCTAATAAAACATTCAGTGAAATTTTCAAGCTTCTACAGTCATTCGTTTTTAAATTACAACAAAATAAGAAAATTGTTACATAAGAAATCGTGTGAATATCAAATGTTGAAAGAATATAAATTTCAAACGCTCATAAAAATTTAATTTGACTTTCTTCTAGTATTAAAGATAAAGGTAGACAAACTTATGAGGAATCTTGTATTACATTTTAAAATCTTGGATTTAAAAAGAAAATTTTTTATGAATTTCTATCCCAAAATAATTTGCAAATTTTCGTAATTTTTACGTATTTTGTCAATATTTGAACTTTAAATGCTTATAAAAAAAATTGTGACCATGGACTTTTAATTTTTTTTCATCTGCCTTTAAAACAATATACTAGGAGTCTTCTATTAAATTTTCAAGCTTTTTTAACCAAAAAATACAATTTTATTGATATTTATATAAAAAAAAAACTAAAATAAATGGAAACTGAAAATGTCCGTAAACAGCTCAAAATAAGTCAAAATATTTGGAAAATGTTATGGTGTATAGAAAATGCTAATATAAACATTCAGTCAAAATTTCATGCACCTAGGGTCATTTGTTTAAGAGTTGCACCAAAAACCAAAATCGATTTTTTCGAAAACAGATTTTGCGTACAAATTCCCGTTTTTCCTTAATTTTTGTTTTTTTTTTCACGGTGCTTTTGAAAACTATTAGAAAATTTTTACTTTTGCCACCTCAAAGTACCAACTAGATTCACTTTTTTATCAGAAAAGATACCGTTGATGAAAGTCTAAGCATTTTTACTGTCCTAAAACGTGATGAAAGACACAAATAAATATAAAATAAAATGAAAAAATAACACACATAATTATACAATCAATACATTCATCGCTCAGCTCAGAATCTAAAATAATTGTTTTTAGATGGAATTAGTATGTTTTTTTTTATTTAATTATGCTTATATTTTTGCTGCTTTTGTAATTAAATAAAATGAATAAAAATATATTTTTTATTATTTTTTCCTATTCAAGGACTCGGGAGAATAATCTCAACCTATACTGATTACTGAGTATACTGCAACTCTGTCCAAAGTTGTTAGCGATTTAGTTATTTATGTATTGATTATTTTAGATTTTCTACTCCTTTCAATAAATTCAATGCAATGTTTAATGTTTATATTGTAACATTTATCATAGAATAGTATGACGTGTTTATTAATTTATTTAAGTATATATGGTTAAAACCTTAAAGGTTTAACTAATTAAAATGTACAGACGTAGAGTAACCATGAAGTTTTCCAATTTCCTAGAAATATAGAATGGTTTCCATCATGAATTATTTAATATTTTGTCTGCTTTGTGAATTTAAATGTACGTGGAGGAATCAATTTGACGTATCCCATCAATCAGCGGTACTCAAACTTTTAACTGCGATTTGTCAAGAAACCAACACTAGAAAAGAGACAATTGTAAATATTTTTTTCGACAAGATTAAGTACGTAAAATTATTTAAAATTATATAATATTAAATGTTTCACACTTTAAAAGTTGAATGACTCTCAATAAAAAACCACATTAGACAACACACTTCGTTATTTTATAAAATTGTGTTTCTCGTTTTTCGAGTAGAATATTTTAATTACATAATGTTATACATAAGTGGTTGTTAATTATTGTACAAAAGAGCCAAGGGAAATAGTTAAATTTAATATTAATGTATAATGTATGTAATATTATATTACAGATTATATAAGTACATTATATCATCTTTGATACAGTTAGTGTTTGATTTAGGTATTAATTATAGTGAACATGTGACTGATAATAATATATTCTACCAGCAATTTAATTTATTTTTAGCACGATTTTAGATTTATCAACATGTACATTTATTTTATCAACATAAAATATTGTAACGAAGTGTATTGATTTTTTTCCGTGTTATTAACAATTTAAATACAAAAATTTTCATTTTAAGTCAAATAAACCCTACCTATATGGAGAAACAGAAATATAATTATAACAAAAATAAAATAAGACAACACTGTTTAATCTTTAAAACTCAAATTTAAATAGTTCAAAGTTAAGGCCAATCTCACTGAAATCCACTACATCATTATAGTGTTTTAATTTTAATCACTCAGAGTTGAAGAAAACAACAAAATTCTAGATAAATTATAAATGTGATTAAAATCTGAAATCTGGTTCCCATCGATTGCTAATTACTGCGAATAAATTGGATATATTTACATTTTACAATCGTAGTAATTCGTGGTTTTATTCGAGTTATTAATAATGAACAATACAAATGTTAACTGCAGTACTATAAAGCTCAGTTTTCTTATTGTAATATTAAATAAACGATTAACATCAAACAATAATACTATTAGTTGTTATGTAATACTGTTGTAGAAATGTATGTACTTCCATTATATATTTTATATCGGTATAAAGTGGTGAGACAATAATATTATAAAATAATTAATATTGATAAAAAAAAATTGAATAAAATTAAAACTATTCAATTTTGAGACCTTCTTGTATTAGGTATTTATAAAATTAACGTTCTCCAATTTTCTTCTAACCTTTGCCAATAATTTGCAAACATTTGCATATTCATTTTTAGAATTTGTAAACTGTATGTTTATATTTGATAATATTAATACACAAATATACTGTTGAATATATATATAATTTTAAATTATAATATAGGTACCTACACCGCACACGGAGCAATATTAATCCCTATTTATTAAATACAAATAATATATTTACAATATTAAATATAATATAATGATTATAATTTTTTTATCATCGAAGAGATATACGAGTTATACTTTAAGATTAATAACAAAAAATAATACTGAAACAATTTCAAAACTAAAATGAGTAGTAAGAAACGTAAAACTTCATGTATTAAAATGTATTGTACCGATTTTAATAATATTTTGTTGTTTTGGTGTTGAACATAAAGTAATGTCTTGACAGTTTATAGTTATTATTGTTCTATATATAATAATATATTTTACTGTAGTCTATATTTTACTTGTCACTAATGTTGATGAAAATATGAAAATCTTTTTCAGATTAAAATACGCCTTTTGCTGACTTATAAGTTATAATCTATTCTTTATTTATCATCAAATAGTAGATCTTCGTTCTGAATGAAGAGAATTTGTTGTCTCATTAAATTACGATATATAGGTAAATTAAGTACAATATGTTTAAATCAAATAATTGTATCCACGTATATTGTACCATTTCAATATTTATAATTTTCAACTCACGGCGTTTGATAACACAATAGTTAATAAGTAATAAGTAATAACCAATAATCAATTTTATATTCATCCCTTTGTGCAGTAATAGGTAGGTATATTTGTAATTATTAAGATTTCTGTTTATTTAATATTATTCTTATAAAAAATGTACCTACGAAATTGTATAGGTAGGTACTCTACATTGTATGCATTTGAAAAACCTGGACATTTATTATGATCTATTTATTACTATAGTGCAAAATGTCCATTTTATTAAAATATTATATAGCTATACATATAGGCATTACTGGTATTAGATACATAAAGGTATTAATGTATTACAATAGTTCAGAAAATAATATTATTCTCAAATTTGTGTTGTACCGTAATACTGTAATAGTAATTGTACACAATATGCATTAAAAAAATAATTCATTTTATAGATTTGCTCACTTCTTGCATATTATATCTCCGTCCGATGAAATGCTCGAACAAATGATACCACGTGTATATTGGAGTATAGAAAACTTGGATTTGGCGGAGGATATGCAAAAAAAATTGGTAA